TTGTTACTATTATTATTATTATTATAGGTATTATCATTACGCTTGGTATTACTATGACTGTTTTATTAGTACTAATATTATTCGTATTATTGTGTTTTTTATTATTGCTACTACTATTGTTATTATTATTATTATTTTTGTTATTATTATTACTGGTACCTACTATCATTATCATAATAATAAAGATTTAAGTATAGTAAGATAAAGATGTAATAATACGATTGATAATCATGATGATGATAATCATAACAATATTAATGTCAGTAATATTGTTAATGATAATAATGATAATGATGGTATATGATGATAATAATAATAGTAATGATAATGAAAATAATAAAGATAATAGAGATAATGATAATAGTAATAATAACAAAGAAAGTAGGTAGTAGCAACAGTAAAAATGATAATAATAATTATAATAGTAATAATGAGAATGATTGTAACACTGATGATGATCATAATGACAATAATAATAGTAACGAACATGCATCATTTTGTCTGAACATGTATCATACTTGTTTTTGACACTGGAATATTTTGCTGTAATCCATATTTATAATTTTATTTAATACACCTGCTCTCGGATCTCCGTTTGATCTATTAACATTTATGATATTTAGATACTGTATCAGGGAGATGAACATAGTGATCAACCTAGCCTTGATCACAGGGTAATGGCAGTACATAATGATGTTCCAGCGGGATAGGGAACCTCTGCAAATCGTATCTGAAAGTCGAACAAATTGTGTTGTATGACTTTATGGTAATTTTGTGATTAAGGCTAAGAACAGCAATGTATGTTACGCAGACGAATCACAAAAGATCAGACCTCTGGATTGATGTTTATGGTGGTGATGAGGATGTTGGTGAGATTGATAATAGTAATGATAATGGTAATTCTGATGGTGATGATGTTAATGATAATGATCATCATAATATTGATGATTGATAATGATAATGATAATAATAATGATGATAAAAATGAAAAATGATAATGATATTGATAATCATAATAATATTGATAGTGATGGTAATAATGATAATTATGATAATGTCAATGATGATAATAATGATGATGGTAATAATAATAATGATAATAATAGTATTAGTAATAATAACTTAAAAATATTGATTATGATAATTATGATACTTATGATAATAATAATAATGATGAAAATAATAACAATAATACTGAAGATGACGCTGATAATGAAAATTATGATAATGATAATGATAACAGTAATGATAATAGTAGTAATATAATAATACTGATAACAATGAATTAATG